CCCCCCCCCCCCCCCCCCCGAGAACTCGGCTTTTCATAAATAAATAAAAAATCACCAACTTCAACATAACATGCAGTTGAATCTTTTGCCTTCACTGGTCTGACTAGATAGAAGGATTATGGGTCATGATAGGGTTGGTCACTGTATGGTTGGATAGGATCCGCATCGAACAAGGACTTCAAAAGTACATTCAGACACTGAATAAGATGTCTCTACTCTGCTGTCTCAAAGCATGTCTAATGTTTTCAAGTTCGGATCTGTACTGGAAAAAAAAAATGAAAAGGAACTTATATCCACACACAGACACCTGTATAAAACCGGGTACTAGAGAGAATCTTCCTTGTTTTTTTTTTGTTTGGTCCAGTGAAGGGATGTTGATGTTTTTGCTTATTCTTATGGAGCATGGTCCCCCAAAAAACAATTGTCCTGTTTTCTCTGTTAGTTTCCTTACTGTCGAGTAGTGTTTCGTCTTCTCTTTTAACACAATAAAGTGTGTGTTGTCGTGAACCAGAATCTTCTGCATGGTTAAGTCTCCTCCATTTGCTGCATGAAAATAAGAGCTTTCTGTTTTGGTTCCTTTTGCGGGGTGGGATGAATTATAAACAAATTTGACACTTTTTTTTATTTTAATTGGCTAATTAATTGTACACTTAAAATAGTCTGATTAAGTGTATTTCGTGACAATAAGTCCATCTCCTCCTTTTCTTCCTTTTGCCTTTTATCTTTTTCTTTTCCCCCCTATAAGAGGTCTCATATATTTTAAGTAGAACCTTGTGCATATGATGAAGATTTTATATCCCTATTCCCTTCATGGCTCCACCCTCCACCTCTATGCCTGTTGCCTAGCAAAAAAATAAAACATATGCAAAATAAATATTATTCCTTCATTTTACAATAGTAGTAATTGTTTCTTATAATATACGAAACAACTACAAATATACCAAGAAACTTGTTATTATTCCTTTATTCTACTTTTTTTATTGTTTTTATCCTTTTTAGTTATTCTTATATATTCGTCCATTATTTTTATTAATTTATTATAACTATCGACATATTCATCCATTGTTTTTATTTGGATTTTTTCCATATTTATCATATAAGCTAATTCTTTCTTTTTTCATGTCTAAGAGAATATCATTCTATGTTCTATATTCGGTCTTAACATAAAGAGACCGAAAGGTATGTTTTGCCATCCCTAGTAGTAGTGTCGAAGAAGGGTAGATTGGTAATCTAAGTTCAAATTAATAAACAAAAGAAGGGGGAACCTTGTGAGAGGCAGAGGAGTCCCAAATTGCCGTCTTTGATAAAGCAAAGCCATTCATGAAACCCTACCAGATTAAAGAAACCAACTTTCATCAAATTGATTGTTATTCCAAGTGACAGAGACAATAGTCTTTGAAATATCTACTTCTCTCTCCATTAATGCTTCGGCTTGTGGCCATTATTGCACTTATCAGCTTCCCTGTCTTCGCTCTCGCTTCTGCGTAAATGCGACAACATCACACAGACATTTCATCCATAATTTCTGCACTTTCTCTCCTCTTGTCTCCCTTGTCTCTTATTTTTAAGTGGCTTGCCTTCGCCCGGCAAATGATTTCGAGTGAACGCTTGGGATCACGAGCTGGGTTTCTTTTCCTTGACTTCAGTTGACTTCCCCTTCTCCCCCCGAAGCTTTTCTCGGTATGGAGGTTTCTGCTCACAATGTCAGACGCTTTGGGAGACGACTCCTTGATGGGTCTCTCTTTCTTTGACTTGAGTTTCCCGAATCTTCTTCTTGCAGAACCTTCGGCAGGTATTTTTCTTCAAGTTCCTTCTTTTTAAATCGTGTCTGCTTCTAGGGCATTTCCTGCAATGGAACATTTCAAGTTGTTGCCTTGGCTTCTTCTTCTGTGGCCCTTCTTCATGCCCAGCACCCATCAACTACAGAACTCCCAGACGCAGGTGTTGCTGCAGCTCAGGAAGCATCTAGAATTCCCTTCAGCTCTTCAAGCTTGGGAAAATTACAGTGGAGACTTGTGTGAAATCTCTGCAACGGCTCATATGGGCATCTCGTGCCAAGGTAACTCTGTCACTGAGCTTAAAATCATGGGAGATAAGCTCTTTAAGCCATTCGATATGTTCCACGGCGCTGCAATTCCAAACCACACTTTGTCTGAAACTTTCTCAATTGATTCTCTGGTCACCACTTTGACAAGGCTTACAAGCTTGAGGGTACTCAGCTTAGTCTATCTGGGTATCTACGGTGAGCTGCCACAGAAGATTCATCGGTTATACTTTCTCGAATTCTTAGATTTAAGTTCAAACTACTTGTTTGGTTCTGTGCCTCCTGAGATTTCCAAGTTGGTCAAGCTTCAAACTTTGGTTCTTGACGGGAATTACTTCAGTGGTAGTGTTCCTGACTCGTTCGATTCCTTAACCAATCTCACGGTCCTTGGTTTGAAGAACAATCGATTCAAAGGCCCATTCCCTTCTTCGATATGCAGAATAGGAACGCTAACAAATCTTGCGCTGTCGCGCAATGAGATATCTGGTGAATTACCTGATCTGAGCAACTTAGAAAATCTACACATACTGGATTTGAGAGAAAATCGTTTGGATTCTGAACTACCTTTGATGCCAAAACTATCGGTTACTGTTCTACTGAGCAAGAACTCATTCTCTGGGGAAATTCCTGGCCATTTTGGAGATTTAGATCAGCTTCAGCATCTTGACTTGTCATTCAATCATCTGACTGGAACACCGCCCCCGTTCTTGTTCTCTTTGCCAAACATCAGTTACTTGGACTTGGCATCTAACAAGCTCAGTGGAAGGTTACCCATGAATCTAAACTGTGGAGGCAAACTCGGATTTGTGGATCTGTCGAACAATGGATTAATTGGGTCTCTTCCCACTTGTTTATCAAGTACTTCTGGTGAGCGAGTGGTTAAACTTGGTGGGAATTGCTTGTCCATCAAGGGTGATCAAGATCAGCATCAAGAATTCCTCTGTAGAAAGGCAGAAACAGAGAATAAACAGTTAGGAGGTAGAAAAATTGGGACTTTAGTAGCTGTACTCAGTGGAGCTATTCTTATTCTTGTGTTTTTTGCAACCGGAGTCCTTGTGTTATGTCGAAAAAGGTGTTGCAGTTGTACAAGAGAAACACCAGTGCAGCAAACTCGGCCTAAGGCTGCATTAGACAATCCACGTACCGGGCTTTCCCCTGAAGTTCTTGCTAGTGCGAGTAAGTAACTTTGACCTGAGATGCAATTAAATGTATTGTCAACATTTTAAGGAGGAGTTCTCATAACTGTCATCATACGTTTTTATGGTTTTCAGGGTTAATCTCACAAACAACACAATTAGGGGCTCAAGGTGCACCAGCATGCCGCTCATTTTCTTTTGAAGAGTTAAAGGAAGCCACAAACAATTTCAATTCATCAGGTTTCTTGGGCGAAGGCTCCATTGGGAAGGTACGTCCTGCAACTCAACAGCTTTGTCCTTTGGTCATTATTCTATGGAACTGCTGCAACAATTTAATTTTGATCTCAAAATAGCAATTTTACTGATCTCATTTTATCTGAAAGACCTTCCTCCCATTTTTTATATTGGTTGTGACAACATAGAATCTTATCCATCTATGTTTTCAATTGTCTTTCAGCTGTACAGAGGAACGCTGGAAAATGGAACCTCTGTAGCTATCAGATGTCTGGTTTTATCAAAGAAATATTCAACTCAAAGCATCAGAGCTCGGTTAGATTGGCTCTCTAAGCTCAACCATCCTCATCTGGTGACCCTCTTGGGCCATTGCATTGAAACCAGTGAAGAACACTATCATGCATCCTTCAAACTCTTCCTTGTATACGAATACATGTCCAATGGGAGCTATCATAAGCATCTATCAGGTTAGATCAACCTATGCACCAAGAAAGAGTTTTTCAAGTTCATGGATTGTGTTCATTCTTTACTTGACAATTTAAACTTTAAAGTTGTACTGCAATTTTCTCACAACCTCTGCTTCAGCAGAATCAAACCCAGAGAAGATTCTGACATGGCCAGATCGGCTGGGGATTCTGATAGAAGTAGCAAAGGCTGTACACTTCCTTCACACGGGTGTAATGCCTGGTTCCTTCACCAATCACCTCAGAACGAACAACATCTTGCTCGATCAGCACCGTATTGCAAAGCTCAGTGACTATGGAGTCTCTGTTATCATAGAAGAGAATCAAAAGCTCGAGGTTTGCTCTGCTCTCTCGCTCTCTCTGTTTATCGTACATGTCTTCCCTGATTCATGGTTTTCTCAATTTTGCAGGCAAAGACGGAAACCCAGAAACCAAAGTAGGTAGCTTTTATGTTGTGATGGTTATTAGATTGTTGGAACTTGTTAAAGCAGAGCTAAGTCTATGTAACATGGCAGGAAAAAGGGTAAAACAGAAGACGACGTGTACAACTTCGGGTTCATACTGATGGAATCGCTAATAGGAGATGCGGGAAGTGGGAAAGGAGAGGCCTTTCTTCTGAATGAAATGGTAACTTGAATTTTTCATGAGGTTGTATGTTAACATTTAAAAGAAAAAGAAAAGAAGCTCATGAAGGGTGTTGATGGGCAGAAGTCGTTTGGAAGCCAGAGAATGGTGGTGGATCCGACAGTGCTGACCACGAGCTCGGAAGAAGCGTTAGGGAGAGTGATATCAATCACGAACAAGTGCCTTCTGACCGATCCCTCCTCAAGGCCCTCCTTCGAAGACGTTCTCTGGAACCTCCACTACGCCGCCCAGCTCCAAGCTCACCTCGACCCCTCTTCCTGATCTCTGCTTCTGCCGCTGTAAATGTTATATCGTACACGTTTCCTTCTTCTTTAAGAAAGGCCAAAAGAGAGTGTCATGAAATAGTAAAAAAAAAAATCATTAGAACAGATTATATCCAAATCCATGTTCATTCAAACGCTATCATATGTGTTTCTACTTCAGTCATTTGCTTCGGAATACAAAGACGAAGGCAAGTAGACGTAGATCCTCAAACAAAGGCCTACAGAGGCCCAATTACAACCAAATACACGCGCGCGTAATGGCCACTTTCCAATTTTGTATGGGTTTTGGGTTATTTCTTGTAAAGCAAATAAAATCCCATATATATTAAGTGTCAATCTTTCAAGCTTGGAAATCAAGTCAAGGCAGGCAGGAGCTCTGTCATTTTCCCTACCAGAAAAAAATATTGCGTAATCAAATACAACAGCTAACGAAAATGTCGCATTTAATTTAGTGCAATGCTGTTCTTCTTTTTGTTATATATATAAAAATTAGCTGCTAATTGGGTTGGCAAAATATCAAAGACGACTGACCGGTAGTGGTATCCCATGTCCATTATCTTATAATATATCATCATCATGTATCACCAATAATATATATATATATATATAGATTTAGATTCTTTCCCCTGAACCATTGTTTGCTTATGGTCTAATCACGTAAGATTTTAATAGAGTATTGGTATGGATGATGTACAAGAGTACATCATTTGAATTATATTCGTATATTTTTTTATATAAAACGTACGCATGCATATGTTGTTACTTTCTTGTTTTGTCAAAACATATGCATTATTCCTGTGACGCGCATTAATAACATCAGTTATTTGAATAACAAACAAAAAATGGATGGTATTGCGAAGAGATCATATCTGTTTACATTCCTAGTCTTAATTCCTCGCACCAACTATTTCTATTTCCATTTTTCTTTTTGGTCAGGCAAATCAAGGGTGAACGATCGATCTCATCCACGCGCGTCCGAGTGGGGGATCATAATATCCGACCCAAAGCAGTGGGACGTTTCCATCACGCGCGAGAGAAGCACGTCAGAATTCACACATTTCAATCCGGAAAATCTAAGCAACGTCGCCGTTAATTCTTTCAATGATCAAGATCCTTTTTCTTGATTCTTTTGTTGCTTTTTTTATAATCATTTCGATATTTTACATATTATAATTGCTTCTATATTTTATTTATTTATTTTTGTTTATACTTTCTTCCTTCCCTCAGTGCCTCACATCCTCTGAAAAATCAAACCACCAGAAAAAATAAAAACCAACAAACAAAGAGAAAGAAAGAAAAAAGATCGAAAATTTCAAACTTCTGGAAACAAGAACAAGAATCCAAATAGACATCGCACCCTTCATGTCATTCCTGCGATTTCTCAGCAGCTAGTTTTGTTGGTATTGTCTTCTTCTTCGTCTGATTATTTCACATAGCTTTTGATGCTTCCTTATGCTGCATTACATCGAATCTCTCACTTTTGATCTGCTATTAGCTATAATCTTTTATGGGTTTTTCTTAAGTTGCTTGGATCTGACATAAGAACTGAAAAAGTGACCGACTTTTGTGATAATGTTTGTCGGTAGCTCAGAATCTCTCTGAATGAACTTCGGTAATGGGTCTTAGCTCTTTTTTAGTTTGGTTTTTGATCAGTAGGTTCGATTATGTCTAGGGAAAAAAAATAAAACTAGTGGCACTTGTAATTATACTCGCTTTCTGATTTAGTGAGCTTGAAAGTAGCAATAGTGTTTCTTGTTTGTGCATTGTTGTTCAAGAGCAGGGACCCTCCTTTATTGAACTGTACTGTTTGAGTTTCTGAGTACGATCTCTCCATTCCGTCTTGTGTTTGAACTCGAATGCGTTAGTAATAGATGTTATTTTTTCAAAGTTCATAGATCGCATTCAATGTCTTCATCGGTCCAATTTGGGTCTTTGGTCGCGAGTACAGAATCATTTTCTTATCGTGGGTTTAGCATAAGGATTGGATTTTTAAGCTGCTAGACCTGATTATTTCATTGAACACGTCTGTTGACATATTGTCCCTAGTGTTGCTATGCTTCATGTTTGTGTTTAGTCTTTCGTGTTGGTAATCGAGTTGACAAAGTTTAGTATACTATGATTTGTTGGGTGTGGTGTAGCATTCATGATCAAATATGAGAATTGCTGTTTTGCTAATTCAGATGATTATGCAGCTACAGATTGAAGAGTTCAATTGTGGATTGTAGATTTTCTGCAAAATGGTTCTGGGTTTAAGCTCCAAGAACAAGAAAGGTTCATCGATTCACACTGATTATCTGATCCACATTCACGAGATCAAGCCATGGCCACCATCTCAGTCCCTAAGATCCCTTCGCTCTGTGGTAATACATTGGGAAAATGGGGAACGCAACTCTGGCTCAACCAATGTCGTTACTCCTTCTCTTGGATCTGTTATCGGCGAGGGGAAAATTGAATTCAGTGAATCATTTAAGCTTCCTGTGACTTTGTTGAGGGATGTCTCGACCAGAAACAACAAGGATAGTGATTCATTCCTGAAAAATATCTTGGAGTTCAACCTATATGAGCCTCGGAGAGAAAGAACACACCAGCTGTTGGCAACTGCTACCATAGATTTGGCAGATTTTGGTGTCATTAAAGATAGTTTGAGCATAACTGCTCCAATGAACAGCAAGAGAAGCTATAGGAACACATCTCAGCCTGTTCTGTTCATCACAATTCAACCACATGAAAGACATCAGGCCAATTCTTCACCTAGGAATGGCTCAAAAGATGTGTGTAAGAATGGCAGTGAATCCGTTTCTGCCTTAATGAATGAGGAAAACTCTGAGGAAGCCGAGATTGATTCATTTACAGATGATGATATCTCCTCGCACTCCTCTTTGACAGTTTCTTGTTCAACTTTAGAGTCTCATGGTGGTTTTTCTGCTCGGACAGAGGAGGTAAGGTTCTTTATTTTGGCCTCATTGCTCGTGTGAATCCTTGTAATTATATGTTTTCTTTAATTCAATGTCGGTCCAATGAGATAAAGGAATAGTGAAAATCCGGAATCCTCGTGGCCAGTCCACGCTATTGTTTGATAATTACTGTGGATTTATATAACATTAAATGGTTTTATGATTCGTGCAGGAAGAACATGAGAGAATGAATACCGATGTCAAAGGAAGTGACCATGAGAGTTCTAGAACAGTGCAGGAGGAGAGTGAACCACAGGAAGTTGTTAACCGGATTTCATCACCGATTGACTTGTCTTCGGTATTTAATCTCCCAGTGAACACTCATGTTTCTGTATCGGATGCTTCTATTTCTGCACAAGAAGACAATGCTAATGTTTTCATAAGCAATAGCGTTATGGATTCTGTTGATGAGAGCAGTATGCTGGATGATGGGAATGGAGAAACCAACTCTAGACCTTTTCCACTTGATGATGACTTGGGAAACGGTTCATCTCAAGGTTCTGAGAGTAATCAAGATTCGATCGGTGAGTCGGGAGGGAAAAGCACAGTTGAGAGATCAAGAATCGTGAAATCTGTTCGATCATCTTTGGATATTTCCAGAAGTACCAGCGGGTGTGGAGTATCCAACGAACAAAAAGAAGTAAAGGTACATCCAAAGGGTAATAGGGATGCTGATATGGTGATCAAGATCAAGAATTTGGAGAGTAAAGTAAAAAAGCTTGAGGGTGAGCTTAGGGAAGCCGCTGCTATAGAAGCAGCTCTTTATACAGTAGTTGCAGAGCATGGAAGCTCCACGAGTAAGGTCCATGCCCCAGCAAGACGCCTTTCCCGGCTCTATCTACAAAGCCCTTCGTCACGAAGAGCTGCTGCAGCCAAAAGTGCAGTCTCGGGGTTAGTTCTTGTTGCCAAAGCCTGTGGAAATGATGTCCCCAGGTATGCTCATTTATCTTTGACACTCTTCTATGCCTTCACTGGATTAGAATACGATGATAGATCTGTCATCAAGTTGTTAATACAGATACAGATTGTTTCTGATGTAAATTCTCCCTTAATCACAGATTAACATTTTGGTTATCAAATGCTGTCGTTCTGAGGGCAATCATAAGCGAAAGCGGCTTGGAAGAAGAACTACCGGTTTCTGTTGGTCCTCGTACATTGAGACAGAAGGCTGAACGAGAAATTGAGAAGAAGCGATTGCCATTGAAGTGGAAGGATTCTCCTCCAAACAAAAGGGATGGTGAAAGAATTGGTGGCTGGGACAACCCAAGCACTTTCACATTAGCACTTGAAAAGGTCGAAGCTTGGATTTTCACACGTGTTGTAGAATCTATATGGTGGCAGGTGAAAGTTCTCTGCTATTCTGCTTTGTCTTGTCTTACCAAATAAATGAGGACGCCGAGTTACTATTGGGAGGCCTAGTAATTGAGTTACTAACTTTAAAGTTCATGTCTCCAGACTTTTACACCGCATATGCAATCTGCTGCAAGGGCATTTGACAAAGCCATTGGTTCTGAATCAAGGAAAAACTTTCGAAGAACGCCTAGTTCTGTAAATCAAGAACAAAGTGATTTCTCAATAGAGCTTTGGAAAAAGGCGTTCAGAGACGCATGTGAACGATTATGTCCTCTACGAGCCAGTGGCCACGAGTGCGGCTGTTTGCCAGTTACTGCTCGTCTGGTAACATTTTCTACCATGAATATTTTGCTTTCTAAATCCAATTTTCGTTATGAATGACAATAAGGAATCCCGATTTCTTCTTTTGTGCAGCCAGTCCCCCATGGAACTTGGATTTGTTCATTTTATTTACGTATGTCGGTTCACATTTGAATGCAGATAATGGAACAATGTGTGGCAAGACTTGACGTGGCTATGTTCAATGCTATTCTTCGAGATTCTGATGACAGTATCCCTACAGATCCTGTTTCCGATCCCATTGGAGATACAAGAGTATTGCCTGTTCCCTCTGGAAAATCTAGTTTTGGATCTGGTGCCCAGCTGAAAAATGCTGTAAGTTTACTCAAAACCATTTGTATATCGCCCGTGTTTGTGTGGATTCATTTCTCTATGTTCAAAAATCGACTTTTTATTGGAGAAGTGAACTGAGAACATGCCTAAAAATTGAGTTTTTTTTCTCAATAATTGTTATGATAGTTTTATCCTCAATTTGCAACCAACAACAACAAAAACATCGCTTTAATCCCAAATTTATTTGGGATCAGCCGCATGAATTCTTCGTTTCCATTTATTTCGGTTTTATGTCATATTCTCCAATATTTGCAACATATCCAAGTCATTTCTAATGACTCGTTCCCAAGTAAGTCTAGGCCTACCCCTTTTTTGTTTCTTCATTTCCATCCTTATACTCCCTAATTTTCTAACCAGAACATCTACGTTTTACGTGTCCAAACCACCTTAAATGTCTCTCACGTAATTTCTCTTCTATGGTTATGACTCATAGTTTCTCTCTAACACTCTCATTTCGAATTCGATCTATTCGTGTATGTCCGCACATACATCGTAACATTTTCATCTCGGCCACACAGATTTTGGACACATTTTCATCTCAATTTGCAACCGCTACTGCAAAAAAAAAAAAAAACACCATTCGGTATTTTATGGTCCATCAAAGGCAACAACAATCTCAGTGCATTCAGGGATTTGAGTGCATGGGTTAGAATCGTACTGATAAAGCTTATGGTTTCACTCTGATGAATACAGGTTGGAAACTGGTTGAGGTGGCTCAGTGATCTGTTTGGCATCGATGAGGATGATGTTGAGAATGGTGAAGACGATAGATCGTTTAAGGCTTTTAATCTTCTGAATGCACTAAGTGATTTGATGATGCTTCCGAAGGATATGCTCTTGAACAGTTCTGTGCGGAAAGAGGTAAAAGCCAATAAAAGCTCTGTGAAGGTGTTTCTATTAGATCTTTCTTGTTGGTTGGGAGTGACATATAAGAGCGTGTGTACCTGAAGGTATGCCCGGGGTTTGGTGGACCGCTGATAAAGAGGGTGTTGAGTAATTTTGAAGCTGATGAGTTTTGCCCAGACCCTCTCCCAAATCATCTTCTTGAAGCTCTTGAGAATGAGGTGAGAGAGAGGCCATTGAGTGTATATGTTAAGACGAGAGATGATCTGATCTTGAAAAATCTATGCAGGAAAGAGACAAGGCGTCGTGGATCACAGACTATCCATGCACTGTACCACCTCCAGTGTATGAAGCTCCTTCGGTACCGGAAATTGTGAGCTCTTCTTCTGTCACGAGGAAAGCCAACACAAGCGACGATGAGCTCGATGAGCTCACTTCCCCTTTGCCCCTCCTCCTTCCCCTGCCTGAATGTCCAAAGGCCCTTGCCTTTGACTCCTGCATAAGGTATCAACTTCTCCGGGACTTGTGGATGAAGGGAGACTGAGCCACCCGGACATATTGTATTTGTCCAAATTTATGTATGTATAATACCCAACCAAATCCTTTTTTTCTTATCCAATGCTTTGATCTATCCGGAAACATGCTGGTTGATCTATTAAAACGGCCCAACGTACTACACCCTGGAGCTTTTGAAACGATTAATACTCCTTATTTTCTAGATAATAAACCCAGACAAAACAAAACTCAACTATTACTCAAGTTTCTCAGTGAACAACTTTTGAAGCAATAACGGATGCATTTACTGATTTATGTGGAATTGCGTTTTGAGTATGCGGGTAACTTTTCGTCCCCACTGCTTGCATGGGAGTGTTTCGTCGGAATCACAGATTTGCTGGGGGTTATGGTATCTGGAAACAGACCCAGAAAATGGAAAGAAGATCAAAATTTAGAAGCAAAGCTCTAAAAGGAACTCCGCTGGTGGAGAATCAAAAGAGAGAGTGAGCTGGCGGTGTGCATTGGGAGTGCTTCAGATGCAAAGCAGCCAACAAGCCCTGCCAGGTTTCTGCCGACGTGGCACCTCCCACCTCAAAGTCTATAAGTTTCCTCTGCTTCCTGTAATACTCTTCCAGGGGCCTCACCTGATCCATCATATCAAATTCTCACTTGTTAACAACCCACTACTTGAATCTCCCTGACCATACGCAAATTCAACCACCAACCAACATCGACTGACCACAGCCCGGTGGATGTTCTGGTTAAGTTCTAGAAACACGACCCTCTTACTAACTTTAGCAAACAACTGACTGAATGAAGAGACATGACAGACACTAAACATGACTACCATCCTACTATTTTTTATGGACTTAAACCAAATTAGAGTTTGGGAAACATCACGACAGCCACAGCCAAAGAACACCAGAGTAGACAGCTGATATGAGTTATGATTGATTGATTGATTGATTAAAGCCTGAAAAAGTACCTCTTCAGAATAGATCCGGATACTCTCCTGCCGAGCTTTGATGGGAACTGCAGAGGGTAACATAGAGCCAGGAAACTCCAGGCCAGGTGAAGTAATTTCACTTCCATGATTGAGTTTAACCAAATGTTTCTCCGAGCATTTGAGATTCACAACGAGGTCAATTTGTTCTATTTGATCCAGAATTTCCTGCAACCATTCAGGATAGTAAAAAATCACTCCTGTTTTGAGCTTTTCAAAAATACCATTTAGAAAGGAAAAAAAAATCAATAAAAGTCATCTGATCCAGAATCTCCACAAAAACTTAGAACCCCGACAAAGAAGAGCCAATAGATGCTCTACCATCGCAACAAATTCACAGCAATGTCAATAAACGTAATTTAACCAAGACTCCATATGGTAATAAGCATTCTGCAAAATATTTAACAATGAGATCATTGAACTCACAGCTTGGATCCGAGTCCGGGGAATTCCTTCGAGAATGAAGCCTGTTTCCCCCTTTGCGCACCCTTCTTCCAGCCTCTTCGACAGCAATGCAAACACAACACCTTCTGGAACAAGCTTTCGTTCATTTACAGCTGCAGCAATCTATGCAAGACGCAGAAACCAACTTTACAACTACTGATATGTTCTGTAAGAGACAATAAATTGAACTACGAACTAAACATCCTAACCAAAAACAAAACTCAGTTCATTTCGCAGTCCTTGCAATCTATGTAGGTATACATAAGAACTAATGTTGAAATAGCCGCTACGTTCGCTAAGGGATAAGAGGCCGCATAAAAATATCAGATAGGATGGAGAAGAACATCAGGTGCAAACAGATAGAAGGAGGACATTAAATCCGCCTAACCAACGCTATTTATTCATACACGTTCCTGTAAGGATTGAGTTAAGACACTGGGTTGCGACATATACTAACTAAATTCCTAATTGGAGATTCGAGACGACCATTAAACCCTAACAAAAAAAATATATCCTAAGTTCCTAACAAGAAAAAAATGTAGTGAAATACAGAACCCAGCTACAACAGGTTCACCAAGTCGGATAGAAACGAACATAAGAAAGGACACAGAAATGCCTTTTTTGTAAACCAAAAGAATCAAAATTCAACTAAAAAGGGGGAAATTTTGTTCACCTCCTTGTAGAGAGCGGATCTAGGGTTAAGCTCCTGACGAACAAGAGTTCCCATAGAAATGTGAGGAACTTGAAGAAGCTTAGAGAGCCTGTCAGCGAATGCGTGTCTCCAGGCGCCAGGGGCACCCATGAGAACCCACTGGACTCCCCTCTCCGTTTCTGAAGCGGCCAATCCGAGCCTTGGCCGGAGATCATCCCTATAGTAATATTCGTCGTCGGAATCATAGTCAAGCTCCACCGCGGCTGCTGACCCGAACGATCGACGCCCCACTACGCGACTCGCAACCGGAGAGGCCAATCGCAGGCGGCTCAGCCATGCCATGGTGAAGACGCGGCGGCGGAACAGAGGGTTTCGGGATGAAAAGAGCCACGAAGCATAAAGAGGGGTTTGTGGAGAGAGAGAGGCGAGGTTTAAGAGAGACAGCTGGAGAAAATGACCACAGGGTGGCTAAGAAATCACGAAAATACCACAAATATAGTGTGACACGTGTCATGTTGTGATAAGGTGCAATTGAATTTGGGGGGGGGGGGAGCAGGCCTAAATCCAACAAAGCCCAACTATGCCACATTCCAAAATTGTGAATGGGCATGGAAATGTAAGGGCGAGGGGGTTAGATTTTTCTTTTTATAATCTCTCCCTCGTTTTGTTTCTTCCTTTAGCTTCATCCTAACCAAACCAAGCAACACATGAGATATTGGTCCACTTGTTATTTAACGGGCTTTTCTTGGGCTCACTTTTCATTTGCTTACACCAACTTCACACCGGGGTATCTATGACCGATACATACATATATACATATATATATATATATTAAAAAAAAATCTAAGTATATTACACAAACACGCAATGAGGAAGTGGGAACAATCGAGTGATGACACCTAAATGTGAAAGGAAGACTCTCGTAAAACTCAGTGGGAGTTTTGGGGGATGTGAGATTGGCATCGGCCCCACATTTCTGTCTCTCTACATCCCATCCCTATGTCTCTATAGTTCATATGTCTTAGAAAAAGAAAAAGAAAAAGCATCCAAGATGTGGTTTCCTTGCTGAGATTCCCGAAATACTACATGTTTGTACGTGCCATCTCTCGTGGTTAAAGTAAAGAAATGACCGATTCAAGTATACTTTAAATTCTTTTTGGCGAACTTGTCCCCATACACTTACGTACACCGTCTTTCTATTATATATACACACACACATACGGAGTGTGTAGATACATGTAGTTTTTTTGTCAAAGTCATGTATAGATTGGTTTCAGTCATGATAAGATAGAGTGCGGGATTCCTTTGTTTGTCTGCTAGTTAAAAAGAAAGAAAAATTGGTTGAGTTCATTATGATGACAAACAAAGCATTTCCTATATTATCCTAACAACATCAATACCCCTTTTCACATATCGGCTCACAAAGTAAAATTTTATATACGCATCATACTTCTCATACATTAATGGTCTTTCCAAAATCACCTTCGAAATTATTCTTATTACCGCCATCCCCGGGGCTCGACACTTTTTTTTTTTTTGGGAAGTTTTCAATTAGGACAGTGATAACAATCTCGTGAAAGCATCGATAATTTTATTTTAAAAAATGGTTGAGGTGGGTCCCGTCTCCCATTGTCTTTCCACTCGAGCCCTGAAGATATAACGTGAAGACCCCAATTATCGTTTTCCCACTTAATCTTCCACTATAAATAAACCCCCTTTCCACCTCTTTTCGTATCTTCAGCTCAAACCAGCCACCTCCCGCTCGCTCGCTCGCTCGGAGTATGGCGGTTCTATCCGGTTTAATCGGTTCACCATTATGGGTCATAATTTTATTTCTTCTGTTAGTTAAGCCGCTCGACGGTCGCGGTTCGAGCCGTGGGCCCTTCGGTTGGCTCGCCGGCTCAGTGGCTCCGGCGCCTTCCGACGGCATATGCGCCACTTCCGTCGCCGTACACGGATACATATGCCAGGAGCACGAAGTAAGATTCCATTTTATGTCAATTATTATTTATAGTTACACTTAATATAACCATTAAGACAGACTGTTGTTATAACCTCAAGGATTGATTGATTAAGTTACTTTGAATTGGATAACTAAGGTGACAACTCGAGATGGATACATATTGAATATGCAAAGAATCCCAGAAGGACGCGTCAGTAATGGAAAGACGACGCGGCAGCCTGTCTTAATACAACATGGAGTTCTTGTTGTAAGTGTTACCTCATCTCAGTTTCTGTAGCACATTTACATGTATAACATGTGTGTGTGTGTGTACTTATGTATGTATAGGAGAGACTTCTATCATATTAATCATCGGTGTCTGCGTAAGCCATGTTTGAACAGAGTAACGGATGGAATATCTTTTTACTTTTTTTTTTATACTAGGTTTTAACCCGCCCGATCGCGCGGACTATAAATACGTATAATTTTTAAAAAAATATTATTAGTTTTAAAATTAAATATATTATATTTTATTTTTTAATTTATAATTCATATCTTAAGTCGAAATAATAAAAATTTTTTAAAAATATTGAGATAATAATATCTTTTATTTTCAAAAAATAATTTTGAATAACGTCTACATTTATATTTTTGTGTATTATAATATAAAATTAAAGGTTAGAACTCAACTTGGATAGTTCAATCGGTGAAATGAGGATGCAAAGAATCTATTTCATCTCGAATTCGAACTTCAAATTGAGGAGGGGAGCACATATTCTAATCATATGGCTTGCTTCCGGCCTCATGACTAGTCTGGACCTCGATCTAGGAACCCGTTTATCCCAAAAAAATTAAGGATTGGGGTAGTATTTTTAGAAAAAAAAATTTCAAAAAAAACTGAACTACTAATTTTTTTAACGTTTAAAAAAGAGAATAAAAAAAGATTTATATTTTTAAATCAAAATGAGATTTTTTTTAAAGCGTTAAGATAATGGGATGATATATTTTTTCAAAAGAGATTTGATATAACTTTGGTGTTTATATAACAAATATATTCACCCGTACGTATATCGCACGAATTAAAAATAAATATAGATTTTAAATAATTTTATTAGTTTTAAAATTAAATATAATATGTTTTGTTTTTAAATTTATAATTCATATTATTAAATTAAAATGTGTTTTTTTTTAAAATATAGATAATGGATGATGCATTTGTTTGAAAAATAGTTTGTGGATAATTTTTGTGTTTAGATTTTTATAGGTTATAATATACAATTTTACTATAGTAGAAAATATATTAATCCACGTGTATCGACTGCATTAAATATAATCTAAATAATAGATTTTATTATTTTAAAAATATAATTTATGATGAATATAATGTAATTAGCTATATCATATATATTTTTGTAAAGTATTGGGGGATTAATTAAAATAAATTTATAACATAACTTTTCTTTTATATTGATTAGAAATCTACAACACACCTATCTAGATATCAAGTACTAATAATGGATAAGAAATAACTGTTTTTGCATTAATTTCTCTCAATTATGAATTTATCTATTGAAATAACAAATAATTTATTTTTTAAAAATAAACATATATATTTTCCAGCAAAACGAATTTTATATATAAGTAAGGAGTATATCATGCAGAATTTCAAACAGAATAAAGCGCTCAGAAAAAATGGGATGTAAAAAATGATCATATGGGCATCTTATTTATAATATTCGGGGGTTATTACAAAAATATGTGAAGGAAGAGGCTTCACCCTTTCAACCAGCGGTTCTATCCAAATCATTCGTAAAGGAAACGTTTCGTCAAGAACGCATTGGTTCACAACCCAACCATCCCACATCGACACGCAACTTTAAATTTTAAATCCCACACTGAAACGTTATTCTTTGAATCGAATAGTCCCGAATGAAACTTTCAATTCAAATTTTAAACGTTCCGCTCGGGAACTTTGCTCGTTTTCTCCCAAAGAGGAAGAAGTGGGACCAATCGTTTTTAGCTTTAGTCAACCTTGAGCTTGAACATTGTTGATCCAATGGGAGTTCTTTTTATAAGGAAGCTCATTCATTCCTCTTGACCAAAACTTTAGATGTGAGACAACATATAAGGAAGCTTCATTCCTTGTACTTTGTCATTTTTTCAACGTTTGACAAATATTCTTCCACCATATTTTTACATTTATTTTGGATAACCACATTTAAAAATTAATTTCTCATTCACCACAAATTGGGTTTAAGAAATTAAAAATGCTATAATTATCTATTCATTTAGTAGATTTCAAATATAACATTTATCCAATTTTTCTAACAATATTAGTAAATCAAACTAACTAAGAGGACTCCTTCTGTATGACATTTCACTCAGAGTATACATTTCAAGACCCGATTCGATAAGTTTCTGAAAAATCTTCGAAACAATTTACCCGTTGACACCTATGAGACCTTTACCCAACCAAACTGACATTTCACATTATATCCCGTTAAAACCTTAATAATTTCTACATTTTTGTTAGATTCATTTCAAATTCATAAGATAAAGCAAATATCAGTAGAAAATTTATTTATTACATCTTGACAATATTTTCCAAAATCGAAACGTTAATAGTAATAGTGAAATTTATGTGTTTATTTGATATTTTTAAGTTGATATATTTTTATTTTGTTAACATTATAATATTTTGTATAGTTTTAAGTTTTTTTGTGAAAAAATAAAGAGTTCGATTCTTCAAATAATAAATAATAGAAAAAACCTATATTATTTACATTACATTAGAGAAAAGTAACTATTTTGAAAATAATTTTATTTGGGAAGGTGAATTATTCTTAGGAAAAATCGTATATAAATACCTAAATTTTTGCAAAATTCTCATATAAATACCTGAACTATAAAACTCTCATATAAATACCTGAACTTTGTAAACCTTTCAAAAAAATATCCAAACTTTTAAAAATCTCTCAAATTAAACAATATTCGTTAATATGTCAGGATGTCATGTCATCAATTTTTGGAGGATTCCATTATAAATTAATCGTCATTAATGGATTTTAGTTTTATTTGAGAGATTTTCAAAATTTTGGGTATTTATGTGAAAGTTGGGAAAGTTCATATATTTATAAAGAAATCTTATAGTTTTAAATAATAATAGAAATTTGGTTGGTGTTAGAAATGCAATAATTATATATTTCAATTAATAAATATTTTACAATAAAGTATTGATTTAATGTTAAACCTATATAAACTCATAAGTATTTAAATTTTATACAAATTTATTTAATTCCATCAATTTAATGGAATACAGCACTAATAACTATTTCATTTGCCCCAATAAAATTTAAATCATTGTATTTTTTATAAATTAAGATTTGGTCAGTTTTATATTTTAAAAAATAAAATTAATAGTATGTCATATTTGTATGTCATGTATATTTTATGAAAGTAATATTGGTTAAACAACCCCTATGATCCATTTTAAATTTATATAAAATATGAGTTAAAACTTATTTAGTTTAATCTTTTTATTTAATTCAACCTATATTACTAATCGTGTTAAACTATGGGAGATTTTTCTCGAACCAATATGTTTTTATATCTAAAACCCTATTGTTAGAGAAAGAATATATTGAATTTAAAATAATTCAATAACAACATGAAACCAACAAAGACACTTGTTTTCTACTTTATTATGTGCTTTGTTTCTTTGAATTTCTATTTTTTTTCTTGGACAAAAAACCAGGAAATATGGAGGTGAGGAGGGGAAGAGTTGCAATATTACCAGATAAAATGTTACTCAAATTCTAGGTTCAAAACCGAACAGAAGAGAAGAAAAAAATAATGGCTAAAAAAATAAAATTTCCATATGAAAACATTGCGACGAACGTGCTATTTATGTGAATATATATACACGACGAACGCGCTATTTATGTGAATATATATACACACATATAGTAATAGACCCACGTCAAATTTTAATTGGAGGCATAGACATATAATATATATATATATATATACCTAAAAAAAAGAAACGCCATGGAAAAATAAACTATACAAAGACATATTTTTAACAGCACTGTGGGCACGTACCCCCACTGGCTATAACGTGGGTTTGTCACTGACAAACTGGGTCTTACTTGAGTAGAATGCGTAGGAATATTCATCTATACTTGTTCCGTTACAGGAATGGTGTATCAACTAAAAGCTTTCATTGTATAACTAAACAATAGATCAAAAACAAAACAAAAGGGAAAAAACAAAAAAGATGAGATGGGAGAGATAGTGTCCACTGAATGGAACCCTCACCCTCGTCGTGTCTGGCCCCTTATGGTAGTGACATTATGAGAACTGTGGTATTGTTCTGTTTTTTTAGACAGCTTTCCTCTTTTGAATTGAGATATTTTCAAAGGTTCGACCTTTAGGTGCTTCTCAATGATTTTGGATGAAATATCATATGAATCTTCTTAAAATTGCTTGGGATTTCAGTGAATTGGAATCCTCCCGCCAAACTTGTTGATGGATTCATGTGTTGTTTCTTTGTTGTAAAAATAATGTCACTCTTGCTTTTAACTAACCCTTATATTTCTTTTTCTGACATTCATCCAAAATCTTTCATTTCTTTCCCAAAAATTTCTCATGGATTAAATCAATACAATAATCTTTGAAATAGAAATAATATAAATGCAATTTCAATATCATACTCCTCAAAATTATGTACCAAGTCTTCTAGACTCGCATACAAACACCAATCTCAACGACATTATTTATTCAGTTGGACCAAAGTTCTCTCTCACTTGTCCTTTGCCCATATATATCTACGCAAATAATATACGTATTTGTGTGTAGATATGTGTGTTTGTGTGAATATGAGTTTCACAGTGTAGGAGGGATCTAGAAATCACCTGATTTAGCAAGTACCTCTATTCTTGTTCCCTCGACTTATGCAAAAAGAACAAATCGAACAGTTCAAAAATTACATTTGATCGAAAGATTCGAACAATATTTATCGTATACAAATGATTTGTTTAGTATCCACCCGGATAAAAAATGTAGAACGGTGAAAGATCGTAAAAAATATGGAAAGTAAGATGATATAGAATACTTACGTGTTGAGAATTAGACACTCATATGCCTCGGGGATCGACAATTCCAGAACATTTTTTCTATATATACATGTATCGTCAATACTTACGCCCAAAAATATGCAAAATAAATATATAAATTTAAACAAATATATATCACTAATATACCAGATTTAAGCTCCTTCTTGTTCGACTTGCTCTTGGGATCAATACAAGAAGAAATATATATATATATATATATACTCAGATCATGTTAATTGACTCTTCGATCTTTACGATTCATGCACAGATAACTACATGACTTTTTTCTATTATTTATTTGGTAATTGATTATGCATTTGACTCAAAAAAATCTTATTGGAAAAATAAACACATGTCATGTTCTTATATAACTTTACTTATATATATATATATATATTATTATTATATTAAAAGCTTGATAACAATTGCTTTTATCGTCCCATCATTAATTTTTTTTATTTTGGGATATGACATTAGCATTGTTTGAACTTGATTAAAATTTATTGAATCTGTTTTTAAATTTTATATGTATTCATGTTCATATTTGTATGTATAGTTTTGAATGAGAATTATTTAGATAATTAAGTTTACATCTCTACATTCAGCTCCATCATTATTTTTTTTATTTTGAAAATCTGATTAAAATTTATTAAATCTGATTTTAATTTTTATATGCATGTACTTATATTCATATTAATGAGTATGTAATTAATGGTATATAATTAATAAGATAGAGAATAAGTTAAAAAAATTTGAGGACACGTGTCGCACTCTCAATAACAACTATACTTTTATATATAAAGATTAGAAAATATGGACTTTTTTATGAACTGTCCGTCAGAGGATAAGCATAGATATGAACCGACGTGTACGCCTTGCCTGCATGCCTCGTCGACGAGCATGCACACGTATAGGGCGTATGTGATTGTGAGGCATTTGCAGATGTGTGACATGTAAAGTTTTTTAAACAAATTAATATATTTTGTTCGGAAGAAAGGGCTAACAAATTTCTTCGATTCAAAAATAAGTTTTTAAGCTATCATTAATTCTACGGGGGTACCCAAGGTGAGTAGTAATATAATATAGAAAAGTGGAAAGAGACAAAGAGACAGCATAAGTGATTAACATGTGTTTTTGCGAAATAAAGTCGAAAAAAAAAGAGAGAAGCGAGCGTTACTAACGATAGAAAGTCAAAAGAGACGAGCGTCTTCCCATTAGGAACTGCAATCATGACATATATGTTTTCATAAGTTAAAATACATATTAGCCACTTATATTATAGTATATATTAGAAAACATGATTTATATTTGAACCTATTATGGTAGTTTTCCTTATCTCGTAAGTTTTCCTCTCTGTGGTCAATGGACAGCCAAAACTGTCTGCAATGACGTGTTTTGTTTTCTGTGTCGGATCGGGACAGAATCCATACCTTCTCTGTGTTTGTTGGTGATGGTGTAGGATGGGATGACGTGGCTGCTAAATCCGGCGGAACAAAATCTACCGCTGATATTGGCGGAAGAGGGATTCGATGTGTGGATCGCCAACACCCGAGGCACCAGATTCAGCAGACGCCACAACTTCCTTAACCCCGATGAACCGGTCCACTTCCTTTCTTTTCTTTTCTTTTCTTCTTCTTTTTAACAAAAAATTAATTAACCCCGATGATATGGGCAGACATACTGGAACTGGTCGTGGGATGAGCTGGTGACATATGATCTGCCCGCTTTCTTCGATTACGTGCATTCCAAAACGTCCCAGAAGATACACTACGTAGGCCATTCCCTGGTGGGTAGACTGGACAGACAGAGACTTTCGTCCATATATGCATATAATAAATAAAATATTTTGAAAGAAAAAGTGGGAAAGCAGGGGACACTGATAGCGTTGGGGGCGTTGTCGGAGGGAAGGCAGGTGGACAAACTGAGGTCGGTGGCTATGCTGAGTCCCATCGCTTATCTCGACCACATGACCACTCCCCTCGGCGACCTTGCTGCCAAAGCCTTCCTCGGCGAATTCACCACTCTTCTTGGCGTTTCCGAGTTTAATCCCAAAGGGTATTCTTTTTTTTTTTGCTCTACATACTATCATTTCGACCCAAGCAAATGTTTGCTAATTGCCGCAGAGAGCCAGTCGGGAGTTTCCTCAAGTCTCTTTGCAGCAGATCAGGCGTCGACTGCTACGACTTACTATCCGCTCTTACCGGTCCGTATGCATTATTTTTATTATTCAACCCCGCCATATATATGACTATATATGCATTCTCATTATTTGCTTTATAAACATTTTTAATTTAAAATCACAGGCAAGAACTGTTGCTTGAATGCCTCGACCGTTGAGTTGTTCATCAAGAACGAGCCCCAGTCTACTTCAACCAAGAACATGGTTCACCTTGCTCAGAGTTGGTCCCTTTCTTCGCTTCATTATACTAGTAGTAATACTAATGGATTGATTCATATAAACACAAATATATGCAGCGGTTAGGGACAAAGTGATAGCCAAATACAACTACGGAAGAGCTGACTACAATCTGATGCACTACGGAGAGGTGAGGCCACCAGCGTACAATATATCAGCCATACCTCACGACCTGCCATTGTTCTTCAGCTACGGAGGCTCCGACTCCCTCTCCGATGTCAGGGACGTCGAGCTTTTGCTGGACAGCTTCAAGTTTCACGACATCAACAAGATCAGTGTCCAGTTCGTCAAGGACTACGCTCATGCCGATTTCATCATGGGTGTTAACGCCAAAGACATTGTTTATAACCAAGTAGAGCGGACTACAATCTGATGCACTACGGAGAGGTGAGGCCACCAGCGTACAATATATCAGCCATACCTCACGACCTGCCATTGTTCTTCAGCTACGGAGGCTCCGACTCCCTCTCCGATGTCAGGGACGTCGAGCTTTTGCTGGACAGCTTCAAGTTTCACGACATCAACAAGATCAGTGTCCAGTTCGTCAAGGACTACGCTCATGCCGATTTCATCATGGGTGTTAACGCCAAAGACATTGTTTATAACCAAGTTGTTTCCTTTTTCAAGCGACAAGCTTGATCTCATCTCCCTATCTGTCTTATCTACAACAACATATGCCCTTCTTTCATCACCAAATCAAAACCCATGTGTTTGTCTGAAGGCGTCGTTTTTCCTTCTCAATATCGGACCGGGATTCTTACCCAACTCAACGGATAGAAAAACCTTCATCCTTGACAAGAGGATCGATCAATCGAGCAGACGTTAAGGCAGTGGTCTGTTATAACAATTTTCCGATGGGTAACGATTGTCTCAAAGAGTATCCCATAAGAACACATTACAGACAAGTACCCTACATGGTACAAATACCATTTCAATCATGGCTTATTGCTCCTGATTCCTCTCCTCTTATGTAGAAATCACACATTCAGATACATACTCACAGCATCATAGAAGAACAAACCTCTTCGAGATTAGGGTGGCTTTACACTCTTTTTGGCTTAGGGAGATCCTGCCTGTTCACAGAGATCCATCAGCGCCAGTGTCTGCCATTGATTTTCCACATCAACAGGAATGTCCATGCGCAAATGCAATAAATAGATTGCGTATCCACTGCACTGTGTACCTCAGGAATGGAGAGCTCAAGTCTAAACTTGGGACCATCGTAGTGGTGCAAGACTGGCCTGAAGGCATCCTCTTCCAGAGCTTTGCACAGTTTCCTTACTCGGGTTCTCACCTATTTTATTAAACGATCAGGAAAGGATGAACACCATATTCCACATCGGGGAGGAAAGTCTCACTAAATCTCCAGTCTTACTATCAAACCTGGGCAGGAAACCGGGATTCGCCTTTGCATTTCTTGTCCTCCCATGCAGTCGGGTCGATGTTTGACCCTCCAAAGCTTGTTGCCTTTATAAACTCATCAAGACCACAAGCAGTTATTGGGGAGAGAAAGTCAGAAATATGTCAATCAAACAACACCAAAAGCCAAGAACAAACCTCAAAAATTCCATGCAACTGATGAGTTGTGTAGTTGTTGAGAAACAGAGGCAGGCCTGGTGTTATCGCTCGAACTGAGTCCCTGTATCTCAGAGGCAAACCTGGCAAACCAAACTAAAGGAAGGTATAAGAAAATATGACCCATTATAACAGCAGTGATAACATAACGGGTCACTCCTAGCAAGCGGAAGGCATATCCAACAGGGAATACCAAAGAGCTGGCGCTTCAAATCTTCCAGCATTGTGTCGTTGTTACATACAAAGATATAACCCCCAAGCACGTTGTTTCTTGGGAGACACTCCGAGGCAGGCAAAGCCTTGAACCTTTTATCTGCAGCAGCAGCATTTGCATCATCATTGTTATTATTACCGCTAGCATTTCTACCGTCTTTTTTAGCGATGTTGTTGCTCCTATATTTGCTTCCATTCAGGTTTCCCACAGTATTCTTCTGGAAAACGGCATTCATATCATACGCAGCATTGAACTTTGACACCAAGTTAAACATGTTAAAGTTAAGGGTCTCGAACTTGTTCAACTGGACCCTTGGACAGATCAAGATTGTTGAAACGTTTGCCCTTTGATCTAGTCTGTTCGGCCAGTTTGGATGCAGCCATCAACCATTTCCGGTCCTCAGACGCTTTGGATTGTCCTCGCAGCTCATCTCCCGGCTGCCAAAAACTGTGCATTCTCTCCGTCTTTGAAATTCTGTCAGGCATGAGACAAAAATAAAACAAATAGCTCCCAAACTCAATACCATAAACACCTATCCAAGGAAACAACACTTGCTACCGATCTGACCATTGAATCAATCAGCCAACTAAGAAAGCAACTATCTTTCGATACTACTCCCATCTGATAAGGAGGAGACTCTATGTAAAACCCCCATTACAGTCATATTTTCATTCATTTCAGTTCTTCAACCATTTTTGTTTATGAAAGTGATGTGTATTAATCTAGCAAAAATGTACATCCAGTCCAAGACTGTATACAAAAGGAATCCATAAGCAAATGGTCAAAATAGTATAGAATTTTATAACAGAAAATAAAATGCAGAGCTATGGTGGTCTCAAGAAACGAGTGAGATAGAACCAGTCAGCCAAGAGAGAAGAGGTGGCAGCTGTAGGTGTGCATTTGACAGACAGGATGATATTACGCATAACACGATCAACTTTCCATTTCAGATGCGGAATTGTACGGTTGATATCTCGAAATACTCTGTTGTTCCTTTCCTTCCAGACTTCATATACCGTAATCTGAAGCAATAATTTTGCAATTTTGCTCCGCCCTCGCATTGCGTCGTTTGTGTCGATATTGAACCACTCCACCATCCTTGTCGTGTTCTTTGGTGCGTTCGGCCAACACACCTCAGCAAAGTGGCTCCAAATGCTAGAGGCGTAACTGCACTCAAAGAACAGTTGGTGGTGAGATTCAACATCCGAATTACACAACCTACAGCACGTATCCGAAGTAACTCCCCATCTTTGAAGTCGATCCTTTGTTGGTAACCACTATTGTATAACTTGCCAAAGGAGGATAGCATATCTGGGGATACCAGACGAGAACCATACAATATTATGCCAGGACACAATTTCTTTATGAAGTCTAATATGGTTCCATGTTTTAAAAGAAGATAAGAAAGTTCTGTAATCATCATCTTTGAATCTCCACAGGACCATGTCAGGTGGACAACTAGCTTCAGGGGGCTGGATGGTGGATATATAGACCATCATCTGCTGGGTTTTGTCGTTTCTGGCTGCCGGCAATGACCAAGAACCCTCTGTTGCACCTTCACTCACAGTTGCCAAGTGCGGTAGTCTTAAGTTACGCGGTCCGGTCGAACCAACAAATTCAATCAGCGGTCAAGGCTAGTCCACGGATCATACCAAAACAATGTTTTTTCACCGTTCCCAATCTGAAACTTTAGCATCTGCTTCACTAACACCTTAGTGTTCAACAATTTCCGGAAGTTCCACGAAAAATGCGGTGAGGAGTCTGTACACCATAAGCCTTTCCTCTTGATAATGTTCTCCTGCACCCAAGCAACCCACAGAGAACCAGATTTCGAGAATTCGGAAGTAGAATTAATTTCCACCGAAAATCGACAAGGGTAACGACGACTCAAAACATACCAACAAAATCAAGATTCGATAGTAGGGCATAATTTTACACCGTGAAGCTGATAAAGAAGAAGAAAATAACAGTGAAATGCATGCACCAAGTTCTAAACGCAAAAGAACTACAATCACCGCGTCAAAAGCGTAAGAGAAAAGGAAACAGATGGGGAACACAAGATAACCTGAAATAGCTTTGTAGAAAACTGGTTTTAGGATTAGGCAAGCAAATCTTACCAGAAAGACGAACCCTAGATTCCAGGATCCTAAATTGGCAATACAACAGAGGGAAGAAATGATTTTTCCAACAGTATGTTTGTCACTGGCTAAAAGCCTTAAATACCCCTAACGTATTGTGTGAACTCGATCTTTTCTAGTGTGTTTGGGCCCAGTTCCAACCATTCGGTGTAATGCTAAATACCTTTTTTTTTATTTAATAGGCCCAATTGGCTTCAATACAAAATATGGAACAGTAAAACAAACTCGCTTATCTGAATACAAAACCCGTACACTCATTCACAGAAACGATACATCACCACCGAGAAAAGAACACGATCAAATGGAAAACAAGAGGGTGTGCATCATGGATGGGGTTTGCCATAGAGATGGGCATAGACCGACTTTGTACGATGCACAAGAATCATACTCAAGGCGCAAGCAATGACACAAAATCCAGACATTATTAGTGAAGTCAAGAAGAAACAGACGGAACCTTGGCATCTCAGCTGCTCCTCTGGATCCAACACTGTCCCATGTGCCTGTCTTTCTGCTTCTTTGTCATATATAGAGCTCGCTATCAGTCCCGAGAACACGAGCGAGCCTGCCGGATTGGCCAGCGTTAGGAAATTGTACAGTGCCCCAAACTTTTTCAGGCCAAAGAGCTCAGATGCGGTGGCTGGGACTATGGCCCAATGAGCTCCATAGCCGAGTCCTATCAGCAGTGTGCCAATGTGCATTGCTCCTGGCCATCCATATGCGAAGAAAACGTGTCCCACTGCCATTACGAGCTGCGCCACCGCTATGGCTATCGGCCTTGGGTAGGCCTTGTCTCTGCACAAACCCATACACATCTCAATGTCTCGTCAACCAACATTTCAAATTTACCATGATCGTACCTGACAATGAGCTCAGAGAAGTAACCTCCGCCGATGCGTCCAAGAAAGTTCCAAATGCTTATCATTGACACAAACACATGAGTGTTGTTGTACCCGAGAGACTGACTCATTTGGCCGAGATTATCAATAACTGTCAAACCTGAACCTGAACCAAGCAGCAGTGAGAAGAATATAAGCCAGAAATCGGCCTTCACAAGTGCCTGCGTTAATGTAAAATCCTCGCCCCTGTGAGGCCCTCTTCTTCCCCTTTTAATTCTAACTGCACCCTCTGCAGCCGCCTGCATCAGCTTCGCTTGCAACTGTGCTATTCTCTTCTGCCTCTCTGACGCTGGAAGCAAATCCACTTCTTTCGGTTTCTCATCTTCCACTTCACTCAATATCACCTCCTGGTCACGGTCAGGGGTCGCAACTTGTTCTGACTGTCCCGATTCTTGAACAAGCGGTTCTTCAAGTGCCGAAGAGAGGTCGGTTGATTCCGTTAAGCAACTGGTCATGATAGGCACCAGGATGGGTACGAGGAGAATTGCAAATAACACCATGGTGAACACAATGATGATGGTATGGCTCAAATCAATCAGATCCTCAACAAGCATCACGGCCATGAGATATGCAGCCAGCAAAATGCAGACGCTGTAAATAAAGGTAAAGCTTGTCCCATCCGTGGGACGGATCTGTCTGTGACCACCAACGGGTCGGATGAAGAACATGAGGGCGATAACAACCACTGCTGGACCAACCGCAACCATGAAGATGAGAGAGGCGTGGTCAGGGGAGTTGATCATCGTATATATCTGCGATAAGATGGCGCCTCCCAGCCCTGCAAAGCCCTTGAGGATCCCAACCACTGGACCACGGCTCTTTGGGAAGTTCTGGACACATGAGACCAGTGCTGCTGTGTTGAAGTACGTCTCCCCATTGTTCCCCACAAATATGAGCACACACATCTGAAACATAAAGATAACGAGTGTCAGTGTCACAAATTCAGACAATCTTATCAAAATTGTTCATTTCACACTTCTTTCCCGAATCTGAGGACTTTCGCGACAAATTAATATAGTCGGAGACTTTCCTATTCTTTCTTGGTAAACAAACAACCTTTGAGCATCAATTTAAGAGAAAATGATGTCATAACAGTTCGACCCAACCCGAATATTCACCGAGATACAAGATGAATAAGAAAAATCCGAAACCGGCCATATGTTCACAGTACAACATGCTCAGTGATTCTTTTTGAAACATCTTCTGGTAAACCCTCGAAAGCAAGCTTTAACAAAAACTCTCCAATTCCCAAATTACCCAGAAAACTTATTGTCCATAACAAATCAGTCCAAATGTTCGGATACTTTTCCAAATCGAAAAGTCGCAAGCTTTACTTAAAATCCCCTAAATCTGTCAAATATGTTTGCTTTGCAAGAGATCAAATACATTGCAATGTGGGAGGCCGGCAATGTCCTACCGACAGAACGGATCTCAACAGAACAAGAGTAAGAAACTAAGAGGAAAAGGCAAACTTTTGAGATCTGTTCCGTCGCTTTCCCTGAAACGAAACAACCTAAAAAGGATAGCTTTCTCACAGGTCCAGATTCTCCAACACTTTTTTTAAGTAACCAAACAAACAACCTCGAAAGATATCTTTATTAGAAAATGTTTGGCCAATCCAAAGATGGATTCAGAGATCCAACCTCTGATATTTTCAACCAGAAAATCACATCGGATGGAAGAGAAAAGAGAGCAAGGTAGATATGTGATTGGAATACTCACAGCCCATAAGGGGAGAACAGGAGCACGGCCGGTGACGATAAGCCAAACCCAGCCGTAGCCGACAAGGTTCTGAAAAGCGCCGACGAGAAGAGCGGCCCAGAGAGGCAAAAGCTCGGAAAGAGGGCCGGCG